CTTTGTTTGAGCTCTTCTTGACTCTCTCCGGCTACTCTCTTGAGGCTCGCCACCTCTTGCCTCAATTCGACAGACTTACTCGAGCTAGAACCTACCTGAGCTTTTACCATTCGCTGATAAGTTGACCGAAGATCGTCAAAATCTAGCCAAAGTTGCTTCTCTACTTTTTCAATTCGATCTGCTCTACTCTTCTGAATGTCAATCTCCTCTACTCTTCTGAATGTCAATCTCCAATCCCTTTTGATACACTTCATCTTCCAGCTTCTGCAAAGTCATTCTCCATTGTCTCCGTTCTGCTTCGAAATCGCGTTTAGCTAACTCTAATAGAGATGGCACCACTCTCAACTGTTCCTCCACCGGCTGAATATTTTCAGGATTCACTATCGGGATGTTGTCATTTACTCGACCGCTTCTCCACTGATTGTACTCTTGAGATAACTCGAGATCATAAGTGAACAGATTCACACGACGAGTTTGCTTCCAGGCCTCAGCAACCCATTTAACTTTACCCTTATACTGATCTCCTTTGAATGCAAAATCCGACCCTACCAAGTCCCATGTGGTTGGAATGAACTGCCTTGACCCATACTGTCTGGAAACTAGTAGCGGTGCATACCCAACAGAACCCCATATACTTGGTAAAGGAACCCAATCTCGCTCTCCACATCGGTAAAGTATAGCCGAATAGACATTCCACGAAGCTCGCCACAAAATATCACCGTCTCTGATATCTTTGAAGATGACCATCAATTTTTCTTCGGTGAAGCCCCCAGGCCATTCTTTAGAAAGAAAATCCTTCAAAGGCGAAAACCCCTCTAGAAACAATCGTCCTGGTGCTCTTTCAACATGTTTGAAATGACTCAGAATCCACACTAGCAGCAAAGACGCACATCCTATAAAGTGTCATTCTCCCTCGTGCCTACAAGAACTCAAAGACCGGAACGTCTCAACTAAAATGGCTGGAACATGACCCACGTGCTTATCTAATCTTTCAAACAGGTCAACGACTGATACGTCTACATATCCTAGCACCTTTGGAAAATAACGAGCCCATAAATCCCTAAAGAAAACAAGTCAAGTTTCTTTCTCTTATCAGGGTGATGATCAATTACTTCTTTCAAAGCAGCCCCAGAGATACACTCACTGTCTCCCTTCTTCTTAATGTTTCTGATTACCCAATCTTCACTCATTCCGGTTATCAATAGTAATTTCTTCTTAAACGAAGGAGTGACTGGCAGCTTGGTATATACTCTATCCATCTGGGACCTCGAACAACGGACCAAAGCTTGATACTCCTCTATTGTTGGTGTTAGATCCACTCTACCAAATGTGAAACAACTGTAAGCCGGATTCCAGAATTGCGCCAACGCTCTAAACAGATTTCGGTCAATAGGAACATCCAGAAGATAAGGAATATCACCGTACAATTGATAAAACATCTCCTTATCGGCTACTGTCCATCTTCCCCATATCTCCTTTAGCTCACTTAGATCATTCTGACGCACGTTGATGTGAGTATAACCAAATAACTCTGACACGTATCCAGGCATCACGCTGTCCCCATTGGTAAGTTGGGACTGTTCCGACCACCTCAGAACATCGGCATTGTCCTCAACCTATTTCTGAACCGTTCATTCCATATTACTGGCCTTCTATATGGACATCGATCCCAAATCAACACCATGTAATGGATAGTACAATGCAAAACAAAAAAGAAACAAGGCAAAGACAACAAGAGATCAATTAGCAAACATAAAGCAATTAAGTCGGGATAATAATTTGTTCAAGAATCCTACCCACACATGTTGGCTACCCAATCATGCTTTATCAGATCCTACCCAACATGATATCTACCCCCATGCCTCGTTATTCACAAAAAGAAATCTTAACCGCATGATATCTAATTCGCACGCTTGTTCGAAAAATAAACCTAACTGCATGATATCTAGTTCGCATGCATTTATTCGAAAAAACGAAAATAAATGACTCAAAAAAGCTTTTCCTTGTGTACCCTCCTCACGGGATTCTTAAGGTTCGGGTTAGGCTCCACCTAAATTCAGGCTCTATGTTCACTATATGATGGGTTAGGTTCTAAAGTAATAGGTTCTCGAATTGTCCTTGTCGGTGCCCCCTTGGGCTGCCGAACCCTCAATCCTGGCCCATCACAGGCTTTAGGGGATCGAGTTCAATTTCGAGGGAACACACCTCCTTATGTCCATGCGGAGGTGAATACCATCACGAGGACCATAAGGCGTGAGCTCCAGGAGCGATCCACTATCCCATGCGGAGGTGAAAACCACACGAGGGCATAGTCTCTCACTCCTACTTAATTAGGATGAAGCGGAGTTTTAGCTCATGTCATGAAAATGCAACTGTGCAGTGTGTGAGGAAAAGCGAAAAAACACATAATAAAAGACACTCAAAATCAATTCCTAAAACAAACAATTATTTTGAAATCATTAACAAACAGATTAGTACAACTATTTAATTGTCAATCGAATTAAATTAAAGAAATCAAAATACAAACAAAACTTATTAAAAACCAAACAAGGGATCAAAAACCAAATTAAAGCGAATTTATAATTTTCAATTGCAAAGACAATTAATTAATCGACTATCGGCCTAACTCTCTAAAAAAAGGTCCCCAGCGGAGTCGTCAAGCTGTCGAAACGATTTTTTCTTAAAGAGTGAAAAATGAGATTTTGAAAACCACATTAATTTATCTCGTTCAATCGATTTTTTTAAAAAGAAAAATACGATTTTTAAAAAACTCTCGTTTCAAAAATTCTGGATTTTCTTTATGATCGAAAAATACGATTTAAAGAGTCGTCACCAATCTTTGATTAGGGTGTGATTGGGCACCCAAAAATATTTGTTATTTTAAATAAAAATTAATTTTAATTAAAACAACAAATTGAGATATGCGTTACCAAAAAATGAGTTCGGGAGTCGGTTACATGTGGGGAAGGATCAGCACCCCCACAACGCCCTAAATCGGTACCTAATTGATTAATTAACGTCTTTGCAATTAACTTTACAAATTCGAATTTAATTTGATTTTTGATCTCATAAAACAAAAATGTAAATTTAAAACATTCAAAAGCACTCAAATAAATTAAATTAAAATTACCGAGTCGTTTTAGAAAGATAAAGAATATTCGATTATTTACAAATATCGAGACCAGATATTAAAAGTTATAACAACCTTTTCTCGATAAATTTAAATAAACGAACATTTCCTTTTCTTTCGTTCCCAAATTTTAGGTGACAAATCAATTTTTTTGTTTCACTTTCGGGATACACTTTTAATTTAAAATCATTAAAAACGGACCTCAAATCAGTTATAATTGCCCACTTAAAACATTTTTAAATTAAAAGTATATTATCCTTAATCCAATTATGTAATATTGGCGAGTTATGCTCATGAGGGTATCATACATTATGCAAAGACAATGTCATGCAAAGATCAATTAAATAAAAGGATATATTACATCTAAATCCATGTTTATGAACCATGTAATTACATATGCACACATATCACCATCATTCAAACCTAGGATAAGCATACACCCTAAACGAATCCTAACTAATCATACATACATACACATAAGAAACTTAAACATGGACTAAAATAAAACATTAAAAACTTTAAAGTCTAATATCTAAATTACGGAAATCAAACACATCAACATTTAGGACGAAAATTAAATGAATATAAAATAAATAGACAGAATTAGAAACATGTAAACTTCGACCTAGGGACTGAAACGAAACATGGAAAAGTTAAAAGTGAAATATCTAAACAATAAATATTAAAATACATTCATATTAAGGACTAATATTAAATTCGGATAGAACACAGAGACAAAATTAGAAACACGAACACAATGATTTAAGGATTAAAATGCATGAAACTGAAAGTTCAAATGACCCAAGTGTTGAATAACCCACACGAATCGGCCATTCCCAAAGTACTGTCGTTTTGAAGATATAATATATGTGTAATATTCTGAGCAACTTAAACCCTAGTCTCATTTATGTTAAACCGGTCCCTAGCGCCGTTCTTCACTCTCAGACTCCTTTATCCCTTTCTCTCAACCTTATTCATCTCTAACTCTAGACAACACAAAGCTGCCGTGGCCTCCATCCTCTAACAACCCTAAACTCCTTAGTTTTGAGTCTCTCACAACAAAAAACAAGACCTAAGGGTTACACTACCCCCCAACTGTCACGGCCGAACCATACAACCACCGTGGTTCGCCCTCAAAAGCTCCGATGAGGAAAGAAAACAACGCACAAGGTAGGTATGACACTAGACCCTGAACCGAACCTAAACTCAGCTTTCTTCTATCTTCACTATTTTTCTCTTTTTTTTTGTCTGAGAAACAGGACCAACGTCCACAAACCACCGCTAGAAATGCTGACCTTTACTCAAAGGCTACCTCGTCTCCTCTCAAGGGCAAGGTAAACTACTTGGTTTTCTTTCTCTATTGATTTACTTACTCGTATTCATACCATAAACACGTATAAAGCACTGAAAAATAAAACGAAAGAAAAAAAATATACCTTAATGAGTGCTATGGTTTTCTTTCGAACCAAAGGAAAAAGGAAATCTGGAAAATTTCTTTGTATTGATCTTAAAAGATTCTCTTACACTTGTTGCTTTCAGTTTTCTCTCTAATCCGAATACGAGAAATCTCCCCCTGTTTTTTTTTTGTTCTATCTCTATCACTTCCTCTCCTCTGTGTAATTTTTTTGATGTCCCCCCCTCTCTTTTGTGTCTGTCTTTCCTCTCTGTATCTGATGGTTAATGTCTAAGAACTGACCCTCACCTCCACTTTGCTTTGGTTAACTCCCAATAACCGTTTTTTTAGTTTTTTAGGATTTCACGTGGACTGGGCTTGGTCATTGGATTGGGCCTCCAACTACTCTGCTTCGGGTCTGCTCCGACTTAGCCCCGGATAAATCGAGCATCTACACACTGATTTCTGACACCAAACCTTTATAATAAGATTAACAGCTTTATAAGCTGAATCTACGGGTCCAGTTCCGACCGAGCAGGCAACATGCTCTTTCCCATCAGCATCAATGAGTTTAACTGTAGCAGTAGAAAGACCAAGAGTTCCACAAGTAACCTGCATGTTATGTTTTCCATTGAAATTTAAGGCGGACAGGACAAAGGTTGCAGTTAAAAGACAGTTATAAGGGTTGCTGCTATCCCTAGTTACCTGTAGATCAAGAAGCTTCCACACAAATTCTGGTTGAAAAACTTCATCCGAAACCAATGTTATTAGATCAGCGTCAGTGACTCTCTGGAAAACCAGTAAATAACATAAACTTGTATCAGACGCTCTTGAGTTCTCAGACAACAGTTACTTTTCCCTTTTAAGAATCAGGATATCGTGGAAAACAACTCAACCAAAACATAGAAAGAACTTATAAACACTATGAAGCCAGGCATTCATAATCATCAAAAATCTTGAAAGTATATTTTCCAAAATTGCACTCATTCAGATCGAACTATTATAACACTTATTGTACGAAAGACCTAAGGTGGAAGAGATCCAGGAGATAATTGAAGAATTTTGTTCACCTTTTTTTGTTCAGCTACTTCTTTGAAGCTCCAGAATATGTTCCCAAGCTGAACATCGTCAAGATCATAACCAAGCTGAGGATAACAGGAAGAACTAAGTAATCAGATAAAGCAAAGAGATGTAATTTCATCGATTTTAAACTTGCATAATGGCACCATACCTCTTTCAATCGGTCTCTCAGAGCATGGCGTCCACTTCACCGGATAAGAAAAAGAAATACAGAGAAGTCATACGCTCTGTAACAACTGAATTTGTAAAAATTAAGCATGAAATAGGGAGATACCAACATGCTGAACCTATGAAATTCAGTTAGGGTTAATTTGGTTATCAGTAGTTTTCAGTTCAGTTTTTAAAGCCCAAAACAGAGCCCATTAACACCCACCCCCCTCCCCCCAAAACAAATAATAATAAATTTGAACCAGCATCATCCCTAGTGTGAGCAAACATGTTAAAAATCTAGGTCCAATTCTTTATATGCCCTAATGAGTTGAACATCTCGAAATGGATTAGACATACTACCCTTCCGGTATAATGAAACTTTAAGGACTTACTGAGCAGTACTCAACATGTAGTCATGTCCGACTCTAAGTAACAGAGCACCATGGAAATTGATTCATGAAATTGGAGAAAGTTAAAATTTCTATATATTTACACCCAAAGAAACTTGCCAGAAATTCTAATAAATTGACTGGACCTTTATGCTTGACAAAGATTTCTGATAACTTGTCCAGCTGTTCCAGAATACAAGGTTAACTGCAGTTCATTCATCAAATATATTAATGATATTAACCCATTTTTATTTTTGCAAGAATTTCTTTGGTGCCTAGCAACTCAGGTGATATTAACACCTTTGTTGCCCTTTGCCTCCCTTCACATCATCCAACAAACAGTCTCTTTCATAACAGTGAGGAAGTGTCAAGGAAAAACCTATGAACATATCCCCACCACACTACTGCACTGATTCCAACATCCCCAGATATTAATAATTAACAAAAAGTTTAAAATACTCATAAATATTGGATATAAGATATATTCACAAAGCTAAATCCAGGATTCTTTGTAATGGTAACAAATATGCTGCTTCTTATGTTAAATTTTCAATTATTTCTGTAAGACATTGTGACGTTGCATCCCCCCTACAAAATAAAAAGCACTTGTGCCATTTATAGCTCTTGCCACGCTAAACATTTTTCACCAACAACTTCCCTTTAAACTCTAGTTAAAACATATTAAAAGGAAAAGTATACAAAGGAAAATATTTTCTAGAAATACCTAAGTTTCCCCAGGACAATACCAGCTTCATTGGACCGCTCAAGCCCAATATCTTCAGGAGATATAATTTCATATGTACCTTTGTGCTTTAGCATTCCATCCTACAAAATAAAAAACATTTCAGAATATATATCTAATAGGTTTTAACACTTCTGTAAGTACATAGATGTGTGTGTGTGTGTGTGAGTTTGTGTAAGCATGTGGAAGATCTAAACAAGCCAACATCTTTCAGATAAAAATGTATCTTCTTTAAGTACACTCACACACGTCTGTGTGTGGAAAAGGAAAAGTTGTTAAATTCCTACAACATAAATTGTAGGTCAAACAACTTAGGGAGTCTGGCATTAGAAATTTCCATATTAGCATTGTAACACAACATGATAATGATAAGTGGGGCTAGAATAATAAAATAGTGGTTTGATTTATACCAGCATCACATTTTTAATAGACAATGGATTCTGATTTATTAAACCTATAGTTGACATGATGGAGAAGACCTATGTGATATAGCTTCACTTTGGCATCATTGTTTCACTCATCAAATTAACATGAGATCGAATATTGGTGCACAAACAATAATAAAGAATTTGAATATAAATACATATAACAATTACTGGAGAAGGAGAACAAGTAAAACAAGTAAATTGACAGGTCAAATAAAGATTGCTCCTCAAGAGGCCAAAATAATGGATAAAATAAAGTGTCTGGCTAAGTACAAGCATGACTTTGCATTATCATCTATAGGTAGCAACCTAAGCAATCTCCAAGCAACATCATGTAAGCATGTTTTTGGAAGAGTTCTCTAAAATAATACCCAAAAATTATCTCGCTTAAATTAAAGGTCTACATGAGACTGAGTAGATAGAATTCAACGTTCATATATCAGTTGTTTTTTTAAGTATGATAATAATTACACTTCCATCATCAATCAAGAAATAATAAACAACCAGAAACTTGATTGGAGGTTGACAAATATACGCAATCAAACAATAGAAACTCAACCTGGTGAATACCACTTTCATGAGCAAAAGCATTGGCTTCGACAATGGCCTTATGTGGCTGAACATGTAAATCCGTGTATTCTTCTACCTAACCAACCATTTCAAGTCAATAACAAACTCCAGAAATAATTCAGTCAAGAGATGCAATTTAGTTGTAACTGAAGTTGACAAAAGAATACCATTTTGCTTGCCATCACAATGTGTCGAGTATTGATTCCTGTATAAAGGCCCCCTAATACATGCTCACCACGACATTTTAAGGCCATCACAACCTATATAAGAAAAATAAAAAGTTCAACCGAGTCAAAACAGTAAAACAAACTACAGGTCATAGAATATTACAGGAACCGTTAGTTGAGGTGCAAAAGGTCAATTGCAACCAAAATAATAGTTTTAACATGACATTCAACACTAAAAAATGCAACCGACATTTTTCGTACTATCTAACCAAGATTATCAAAAACAAATTATCTGACCAACAATACTACTTTTGCCATGCAGTGAAGTATGAAAATTCAATGCAGGGGAGTGTCCATGTGTTGAATACATGCCTAACATGGACACATATTTTACATGACGGAAAGGATACGAAGGACAATGACACATCAAAAAAGTAAGAAAGAAATTGAACAGAATAAAAATGTGGTCAAGACACTATTGGAAAACCCGGACATGTGATGAATTTTTCATCTATTACTACCTGAAACATTCCAATTACATAATTATTCCAATATGGTAAAACTCAAAAGTTCACCTCCTCCATGGAAGCATTTCCAGCTCTTTCCCCAATGCCATTGATTGTTACTTCCACTTGCCTTGCACCAGCACAAGCTCCCTAAATTCATAAGAACAAATATGTAAATGCAACCCAAGTACATCTGAGTCTCACTGTGCAAAGTGTAAAGCAGTGGCCTACCGCTATACTGTTGGCAGTAGAAAGCCCAAGGTCATTTTGGCAATGTGTTGAAATAATAACATTTTCAATTCCTGGGGTATTGGCTTTTATATCAGCAATCAATTGCCCAAACTCACTAGGCATAGTTATGCCAACAGTATCAGGTATGTTGAGAGTTGTTGCTCCAGCCTTGATTACTTCACCCAAAATCTCATACAGAAACTCTCGGTCAGATCTGGTACCAACTCAAAGAAACAACACTGTCATGTCAATGAAATGAAAAAAAGAGTGTTTTATAGTTTTTAATCCCAAAAGCAGAGTACAGAAGATTCATACGCTAATGCTACTGCAAAATAGTAATTATTTAAAGCCCTGTAAATAATTTGTCCATCGCATACATAAACAAGCATGCACATTTTGCAGCAATATCTGAACAAGCCTAGGGGCGCAATCAAGCTTAGCTCAACCTGTTAAAAGCTCAAGCTCAACTCAAAATTTGAGGAACTAAACTCAACTAGATCTTGATTGAGTTTCACTTTCTAACACTTGATTATTAGGGTATGGGTTAGGTTGTTCTGCTATTGAGTTGGTTATTTATGTTCTTTGTTGGGTTTTTAAGCTTTATGTTGTTAAGAAGCTTATTAAGATGTGACTTTGTATTATTCTGATATTAATAAATTATTAGGTACTCTTTTTCTTCTTTCACTCTCTTCTCCTTCATGTTATTGTAATAACATGGAGGTTAAGAAGGGGTTTTAATAAGGCTACCTTATTTTTATAGAAAAAAAACACTTGAGCTCAACATAAATATCAAATTGCTTGAACTTCTCGATTAAGCTTTATTAGGCTCAGTTAGTAAAAGAAAATTAAGCTCAATTCCCATGCCCGAATTCAAGCTCAATTACTTGTACTAGAACTCAAGCTTGAATTCGATTTGAAAAATTTTAATACTAAATAATATACATTCGCAACTAGGTTCACAAATTACTTGAATTTGGCTCACTCAAGCCGCTCAAGCTTGACTCACAAATAACAAAGCCAAATTCAAGGTATTTTCTTAATCCAAGTCGAACCCAAGCAGTTTGCAAGGAGAGGGAAACCACTAATCAAGCTTATAGCTTCCACCAAAATGGTTTCGCTTCAATAAAATGCAATCAAGGAAAAAAAATTCAAACCATAATTTAATTTCCTTTCTTCGATTTTAATCCGATCATCAGAGAATAGTCTTATTTATCTGTTTTACTCTGGCTGGTGACGTGCCTATGCATCACCACGATGAACTCCCCTCGCCAATTCTGCACTTGTTGTTCGTGATTACCGTTTTCGTTGACGTGGATCATAGAGGTTCTATGGTTTCAAGTGGTGAGCCTGATACTTCTGTAAGGATGATGTACTACTTTGTTCGATGCTTTTTACAAGGGGTTTTGTTTTAGTTGATTTGAGGATATTTTGTTACTTGGAATAAAATCGTGTTATTATTTTTATTAAAGTTAAATAAAATTTAATAATTAAATTTTTAAAAATATTATTATAAAAATACAATGACTAAACTCTAAAGTAATAACATGATAATAATTGGATAACTAAATAAGTTAATTTGCCTATTTTATATAAGTCGTTGATGTAAAAACGCAACCGGTCTATGTAGTTCGGTAATCTGCATAGAATTGTAGACTCGTTGAAATTTTTGAAAATGGATTTGCTTGACAAGTTAGTCGAACCAGAGTTGTAGTGAGTCCTTGTTCGAATTCAGCTCAGCTTCGATAAGGTGTGAGACATTTTCAGGTTCCAACAGTTCTGCACTTAAGGTGTTCGATAAATTGCCTCTATGGATTACCCTTCTTTCTTTTTCTATTCCCCCCCTTATTTACTTATTTTATAGTTCAGTAATTGGTGAACTTGGGAGCCTGTAATTTTTTTTATAAAGAAATGAGTTTCTGGTTTTTGTGTGGAAAAGGTAAAGTCTTTGGCTTTTCATGTGGGTTGAGGAAGGGATTTAATTACCAGCAGAGTTTCAGTTTAGTTAATGTTAAGTTCAAATGGGTTAAAGATAAAGCCTTGGATGCTGTTATTGCTGGTGAAAGAGACTTGAGAGCTGCCTGCAATCTTGTCTCCGTCCTTTCCACTGCTCCAAATGGTTGTCTTCCCATTTACCATCTTTCCCGACAACGTGGTCAATTGGGCTTGCCCCATGATCTTAAGCTATCCACATTTATCAGGAGATATCCCACAATTTTTCATGAATCTTATGTGTTTGACAGTGCTGGCACTCGTGTTCCTTGCTTCGAATTGACCCTTGAAGCCTTAAATCTTCACTATGAAGAACTTGGTATCATCCGAGACAGTGCGATGGATTTGATTAACAGGCTTCGCAAACTGCTGATGCTTACCAAGGATAGGACCCTTCCTTTACAGACTATTGACCAACTGAAATGGGATTTAGGATTGCCTTATGATTACTGCGATAGCTTGATCCCGAATTATGCTGATCTGTTTTCTTTGTTTCACCTTCCTGATGGTCGCATTGGTTTGAAGCTTTTATCATGGGATTATACCCTTGCTATCTCTCAATTAGAGAAGAATGTTGCCCTGCAAACAGAAGATGATTTGAAAAATAGCTGTTTAGCCTTTCCCATACGGTTCACTAGGGGTTTTGGACTGAAGAGAAAGTGCATGGAATGGTTAAGAGAATGGCAGACACTACCATATACTTCACCTTATGCTGATGCCTCTCACTTGGATCCGCGTACCGATGTGTCGGAGAAGAGAATTGTGGGTGTGTTTCATGAGCTTCTTCACCTTACCATACAAAAGAAAACACTGCGTCAGAATGTGAGTAATCTACGGAAACCATTGTCACTACCTCAGAAGTTCACTAAGGTGTTTGAGCGCCATCCTGGCATCTTTTATATTTCCAAGATGTCAGATACTCAAACTGTTGTTCTTAGGGAAGCTTATGACTGTCAACGACTTATTCAGAGACACCCCCTTGTTGATGTTAGGGAAAGATTTGCAAGCATGGTGCGAAAAGGATTTTTGGATCGAAGCAGGGGCTTATACAAGAAAACTGCTGATGTATGTCGCACAGACCCATCAAAGATTGTTTGCGGTCATATCGGCGGTGGAGATGGTTTTGATTCTGAAGTGGAGTCAGATTATAATTTATTTTCCGAATACGATTCTGATGACTCAATTCATCACCCTTCCTAAATTAACCGGAACATCGGTCGGAGATGAGACAACCAGGGAGGAGAACAAGGTTGTTATTTTTAAGTTAGAGTCCAGCCTCTCTTCTTAAAAGGACATTTTGCAAAACACAGTTGGTACTCTTACAATAATTCAATCATGGTTCATATTTTGAATTTTATAATATTTCCCTGTTTCAATTGATTTTTATATTGTTTTAACGTATGATTAAACATTTTCATCATCAACTTGGCACCTTACCAGATTAATCATCCTTTTCATTGCGATCATCTGGTTCTTTTGGAAACATCACCTTATCCATCGGGGTGTTATATTTGCGATTTTTGCATCAAAGCTGGTACGAAGTTCCTTTATCATTGTTCTTGCGAATTTGACTTTCATATTAAATGTGCTCTATTTACATTTAATATTGCTGAAAAGAATTTGAAAGAGCTTGAACATGTTCTTGTTGAAGATCCATCGATTTCACTGAAATTGATGGTAAAAAACTTGAAGATGTTAACAAGTGCTTTGGATGCTGGGAACTATTAGCAAAGTATCCGTACTTTGGTGGGTTTAATTTACATAAAAAATGTGCCGAGCTACGCTTCAAAATCAATCATAGTTTCACCGCTGACATCCTCTTTTTCTACATTATAATTGTAAATATCCTCCTTGCAAGATATGCCGTTGCAAAATAACCCCCAAAAAGATTTGCTTATGGTTGTTCACTTTGTAAGTTCTTTATTCACATTGGCTGTTCGTCGCTTAGTCCATCACTACCTGTTGCTGTTGAAGATAGAAGTCGTCGACATCAGTTCACTATGATTCGAAGACAAGCCCCTTATTATTGTGATGCATGTGGTTAAGAAGGAAATTATGTTGGCTATATATGTCATACATGCAACATTATAGTCCATAATAAATGCATTTCATTGCCACGGGTCATCAAAAGCAAGTGGCACAATCATCTAATTTTTCACAACTATTTCCTTGAAGCAGAAGAAGACTTTAAAAGTTGGGATTGCATAATTTGTCGTTGTAAGGTCAATGAAGAGCTCGGTAATTACTCGTGTTTGGATTGCAAGATTATATTCCATGTGAATTGTGTGACGAAGTATGAAAGTTCATATTTTGTAGTTTCACTCGAAAACGAAGATGAGAAATCTAGCGGAAGTTTGAAGTTGCTAGATAAATCTGTTGAGTCCATCACTTGTGTTTTTCAGAGGAACAATGCTGGGGATGCTATAGAAGTAAAACACATCAAGCATAAGCATAACCTAATGTTAAGTGACATGATTATGGAGCATGATAAAAGTTGTGATGGGTGCATGTTACCGCTTTCGGATTCATTTTACTATTGTCTGGAGCGTAATTTTTTTCTTCATAAAGTTTGTGCCATGTTACCTAGGGTGAAGCATGTTTGGCATCATCGATGTCAAGAACCTCTCAAGCTTACTTCAGGCTCATTTTTCCTTTGTGAGTTGTAGTTTCTGGTCTAATGCCTTCTCCTATATGTGTAATGAGTGCAAGAAACGTACATGCTTTCGTTGTGTAATTGCTCTGACTCCAGGTGAAGTAACAAGTTCAAAACATGAACACCCTCTCTTTTTCTACAAGGACTACAAAAATAATATACATAAATATAAAACAAATACAAGCATCACATGAATAAAAAGTTCATTAAAATCAATCTTTGACACGAAAAAGAATTGAAAATTTGAATTCCAGAAAATAGACAACTTGAAATCATAATCACTAAACAACTCTATTCAAATACTAATGTCTTAAGAGCGAATAATAAGTCTATTAACTACAAAGTCGTCGTAGTATAATGGTGAGTATTCCCGCCTGTCACGCGAGTAACCTGGGTTCGATACCATTAACTAATATGTCTAAGAGCGAATAATAAATCTATTAATAACAAAGTTGTTGCAGTATATTGGTGAGTATTCCTACTCGTCACGCAGGTGACCTGGGTTTGAACCCCGACAACATTAGTTTTATTTTCCCAGTTCTCATTTCAGTGGAAAGAAAAGACAATAAAAACTAAAAATGAAACCTTTAGTGTGTTAGACTGACGTGATAATCAACTACACCACGACACCACGTAGCAGTACAAAATAAGACATTATATTGAATTGTTAAACATCGTATGAGAGGAAAGAAGCAGAGTATGAAATTAAAAACCTCAACTTCTTAGTAATCATAACAAAATACAAATGACCATCAAGTAAGAAACGCATATCTCATATCACATCCATTAATATAATCTAAAATTATAGGCGTCTGATATCCTCTAATCCATATTCAAATATATGTCATCATGTATGTCAGATTCTGATACATGCACAAAAATGGAAGTATGAAGGCCATAACTACACCATTATCTGAATATAGATCAGATGGACTCTGATACATGAAGAAACTACGAAGGTTACACCAATATATCTCCATATCACAGTAAATGTCCGAAAAAGGGTCGGAGACTCAATAGCAATATACATAACTAATCAATAGTACTAAAAACAAGAGAACATCTCGAACTTTGTTCCCACAAAAGGGCAGGTTACCTGATCGGAGCCTGATATTTCAGCCTTGCCTTTGGAACATTCAGTTTCAGCCAAACTTCCATTTCAATCAGACAATAGATTCGAAGAACTTCGAAGAAATGTAAAATCAACTTCAATTGTAGCTTTCCATAAGATAAACAAGCAAATCAAAGGAAGCGAAAGGTGGATTACCTGGATTGGCGAAGAGAGAATAGATTGAAAGCTGGCAAGAAACAACGGCGTTTGCCCATCAATCTGCACAAACTTTCTCTTCCAGTTAGCATTTGCAGCAGAGTGATTTAAGATAAACTACACCTCTAATCATTTGCAAGTTCACCATCAATTTGAAACCCTAGCTCGGTAGCTTCCTCGAAAGCTAGGCGGCGGCCCTCCTTCCCCGCTAAATCGGAGTTTATTCCAAGGCGATCCTCGAAGGATAATAACGGATAAAAATATACAAATAGTCTTATTCTAATAGCAAGAACTTCATTTTTTTTTTTGAAAAAAAATACAACTAATTTTAAGTTGTTTAAATTGTAAATTTAAGGTAATAGTAAATTTAGAATAGTAGGGTTTATTTTTAGTTTTTTCTTTTTCATTAATCATCGTTAGTTTTTTATTTTTGTGATTGGCAATGATATTAGTTTTGGTATTGGTCATCAATTTTTTATTTATTTATTTATTTTTTACTTTATTATAGACTATCTTGTTTTTTTTGAATTTTTTTAATAATTTTGTCTTTATACCAACAATTAATTGATACAATGGTATGAGATATTAAATTCCTTAAGTAAGATTAGGGGTTCGTACTTCAACGTTTATGAATGAAGCAAGTTGGGTTGGAAGGGTCTCTTTTGCTTCTGCAGTACCCAATCTGGATTAGTCGGTTAATAAATCGAATACAAATGATTAATTCTAAAAGAAATTTTGTTGTTATGGCACTTCTCCTTCTATTTTTATGACACATTTTTCTCGATCTTTATGACACGTTTTCAATCGTTTAATCGTTGTTTTTGTTTATCATCTTTTTCAATATTATTTTTGACATCGTCACAACTGATCATGATAACATTTATTTGTTAACAGGTTGATCTTCATTGCTTTAGAACCTCGGATTGGATTTAGATACGCGATTTGCATTTGTGGATAATATTTTCACGTCGCTCGATTATGATTTTCAGTTTGTTGGTGGTCTTTCAATAGCTTCATCCCCTTTTGTGGTCTGTTTACCTATGAGGTCATATATGTTCGTGTATCTACCTTTTGTTTGAATTTATTTAGTTAGGTTTTTAACATTTTCATTGTATAATCTTTATTTGATTTTAAGTGGCTAGTTATTGTTTAGGAAAATATATTTATTATATGTTTAGTGTACGATTGTGATTGTAAACATTTATTATAATTTTGATATTTTCTATTTTTAATAAAATTAGCGACTTCTAAAAGAAAGTAATGAAGCATTATTTAGAAGATTTTTTTAATCATTGATAATGTATATATACTTTATAGATGTACCGTACATGTTTAAATATGAGATTTAAAAAGAACAACACTTTATTATCACTAAGATCACATAAAAAATTGTAAAATAATTAATTGATTAAAAATAATAAATTAATATTTTTATTATAAATTCAATATAATAATTAATAAAATACATAATAATATATTTAATTTATATTTTTACATTTTATTTTAATTTGATATTTATTTTTAAATAAAATAATCTTTAATATTCTAAATTAATACTTTGTTAATCTAGTTTCATTAGGGTAAATTATATCATATACGAATGAACTTTTTCTGTTTATTTTATTCAGTATTTAATTGATAAAATTAAAAGTTTAATGATATATATGAATTAACATATAAAATACAATGATATCTAATATAGTTTTTTTATTATTATTTCTATCTCTTTTACCGTCTATGTTCGCTCATTGTCATCGTTATTGTCAGCTATAGTTTTTCCTTCATCATCATTGTTTTTCTTTTCTGTGAATGGTAGCTTCTAAATATATTTTCCTTTATCTTATTTTTGAAGTCTTGTTTTTGAAGTTGACTTGTTCGATTCAAATTTTCTTAGGATTCAATTGATTGAAGTATTATAAACATTGAATGTTTCTGATGAACATTTGATGTTAGTCGATGATTTAAATTACGGTTATGATCGTGTTTTTATTCCGTTGCGTTTATTGCAATTGCGGACGCTATTGCGATGTTTATGGATATCGTGATCATGCAATAATAGTATTAGATAGTACCGTTACCGCTATATAACGGACACTATTACAATAATAGATCATTGTTTAAATCTATGTTTTAAATTGTCCCAAAAATGAGTAAGAGAGAAGAAATTCAAGGAGACATTGAACTCGGTATTGAGAGGAGTGGGTTTGTTGAGGGGGAGCGTAACACTAAGTCAAGGATAAATTATATATTTAGTCATTAAATTGTTCTCAGGTCTCAATTTTGGTCATCCAATTATTTATTTTTTAAAATCATCACTAAATTTAATTTTTTTTCGTTTTGGTCACTTACTATTTGTATTAAGTTTACTATATTTATTCCTATAAATTTGGGGCCAAACCAGATTACCGAAGCATAAACCAAAAATCAACAATGGCTTTTGTACACATTATTTGATTGTAAACGCTAAAGAAGCCTCTTTCTTTGATATTGTTAAATTCATGTTTTCCAGTAATTTGAAGAAGAGAATATTCATCCTATACTCTTTCAGAAGAGAGGAAAGTTTCTTTTATCGTCTTCTTATAGTAATTTTTACATTGTTGGAAAAGTTTCTGCTTATGATATTCATGTCGATGATAAATTGGCAATGATGAGGATAACGATAGAGACTTAATTTCCTGCATCTTAAGTATTCAAGACAATTTGACAAGTGAAAATAGATGGCTGATGTTAACAATAAAAAATTAGGAGATATTCACTGAAAAACAAAATAAGAAGTTAATATCAGTCATCTATTTAGTTTGATCTTAATCGGTGTCGTGGTGTTTGGAGCAGTGAAGGTAGTGATTCCGGACCGGAAGACTGTAACATATCTCTCTTTTATCGGATTTACAGGCACGAGAATGGAGTCAACCAGTAATATTAAACATGGAAATCCAATTTTTTATCCTGCACTTTCGATTATGGCTTGTAAACAAGTTTACAATAATGCTGCTTATAACCAAACTCTAATAGAAGGTCAGTGGAAGGTATATATATCTTAGAATTAGATTACTTGAATATCATTAAACTTACATAAATTGTTTGCTACATCTGTGTGCTTGCACTTGGAGTTCTTGGGATTTAAAAGTTACTGGTTCAGAGGGACACAACCGTTTAACACCGAAGATTAGTGCTCGGACGTGGATTTGTCTTGGTTCGAATTCCCCCACATCGGAAAGATTCATAGTGGTTTCTTGAAAGCCATGGGGGATGCAATGTAGTGCAGGTTGTGTCAATAATCTCTAAAGAAAATGGTTAAAAACTCTCAGTTAATATATATTTTTTCTTTAAATTGCAGGTTCAATATTTGTTAGGAACAAAATTCTTTTACCCTTCTCTTAAATAAATATTGTTCAGAAAAAAAGGTGAGGGTTCGAGCTATATCATTGATACCTAAATTCATATAAAAATAATTCAAAGTTTTTTTAATATTTTCGGTTTTCCTTAACTTTAAATTAAGTTATCGTTCCTTAAACATTCCCTATGAGTTGATTTAATTGATTTTTTTATTTTTAAATAATTTAAATTAAATATTCGAAAAAAATTCAATGATCAGATATAAAAAGTCTAAATTCTAATTTTGTATTATTAGAAAATTCAATAAAAGTTGAGTTATCAAAATTTAGATAATTTTTAATCTAATAAATAAGTAATCCATTACTACACTAAAACTCTAACTCAATAAAAATTAAGATATTTAATTATTTATTACGTGTAAATAACTAAATATATATATATATATAATAGAATAGAATAGAATATAGAGTATGTTGCATAAATTTAAAAAATATAAAATTTATGTGTAATTATTTTAAAAATTAAATTTTATGTTTAGGTTTAAACATTTAGATATTTAAAAAATAAAATATTAATTTTTTTGGATCTAATCATAATTTTTAATAATTCTACAGAGAATACAAGATAATATTTATTTAAATATTTTTAATAATTTGACAACAAATGGTCATATCACTACGCGATGCTCCAACTCGATACCTCAATGGATGACAATAATCTCTTAATCAATTAAGTCATTTGGTTTGTGCACTAATCTAGATTTTCTATATTAAATTTTTGGATTATATATAAATTTTGGTTACCCTCTTAATTCTTCAAGACTTTGTTCTAATTGATCTAGATTGATTCGTGTTACACACCTAATTTTATTAGATGAGTCTTAATGAAAACTTTTTATATACACAAAATCTCAAACTCAAAATATATTTAAACCATATAAAATTACTTATCACTTGAGTCAATTTTGGATCGGATAATATTTAATAACATAAAATGAATACATTCCAATGCTTGGCAGGCAAGGGATGGTAAAACGGCACTTGTCGAAACTAAAACCAGGTGTCGTTATACTGCTTCGCCACCCACCAACAACATCATCCATCAACCCCCGAGACGATAAGAATCAACACTTAAGTTTTATCGTCTCTTTCCTAAGAAAAACCACCACACTGCAACACTTCTTTAAACACTTAGAATTGGTTGGGTCTGAAATGAAACACTCAGGGTTTTGTCATGTCGTTTTCCCTGGTTGTCTTTTGTATTCTCTCTCAATTTACTCGGCACCACGTTCATGCTCCACCTGCCTGCTTTTTCACTAACTTCCATTGATGATAATGGCTGCTTAGAGGGCTTTTAAAGCCTTCCATTTCACCTCCTTAGCTAAAACTCTTCCCTATATATATATAAATCAGAAGAAGAAGTGAAGCTGCAATGTCGAAAACTGAGCTGATAATTCTCTCATTGTCGTTCGCAATGGCATTGTCTTTCGTGGCCGTTGAAGGTTACGGAAGGATGGTAGGAGGGAGAACGGAGGTAACCGACGTGAAGACCAACAAGCAGGTGCAAAAGATGGGGAGGTTCGCGGTGGAAGAATACAACCGGAACCACCGCATCCAGCGGCGGCGATTTGACGATAGCGAGGGAAGATCGGTGGAGCTGGTGTTTTCAGAGGTGATAGAGGCGGAAACACAGGTGGTTTCAGGGATCAAATACTATCTGAAGATCGAAGCGACGGAGAATAAGCTTAGAAAGACGTTTGAATCGGTGGTGGTGGTGAAACCATGGCTTCAGTCCAAGGAACTGCTCCACTTTTCGCCTTCCACTCGGTGAGTGATTTAGGGTTTCTAAAAACGGCGCCTTGTGTGTTGTTGAGTCTGTAACTTTTATCCTG